CATTCCTGATCGTTCAGCTGCAGAGTTCTATGTTCCGGATCCCGATTTAAAGCATATTAACAAACTTTTTGTCAATCATCCTGACAGGTTGGGCTCTCTGTTGATATTCTGAGTGTGCCTAATTCAATGGCTCGTTATAATTCTTGAAACCTTGTTATAAAGTAAAACATAAAATTCTTAATTCTGGACCCTCATATTACTGGCAGGTTTAGGCAGTATGGACTTTGGAGCAGATACACAGAATTGTATCCCTATGAAGACTTAGTTTACACTGTCGGTGTTAGTGACTACTCCAGAGATTGGTTCTTCGCGCAGGTTCCCAAGTATGATTCTTTTAACAATGGTTGTCATAGTGAAAATTGAAAATCATAAATGTCAACATCCTGTACCCGCACTCAGCCCGTTTAAATTCTATAATGTTCGATAGTCCTTATACTGTTACTAGTTTGCAAGGTGATGTAGCATAAAATCTTTCCTTCCTTTGCAGGAAAAAAGATGATAACTCTCATGAAGGAACAACATGGCAAATCCGTTTCAAACTTAACAATGTAGATCGAAATGGTACATACAAACTGCGTGTCGCAATTGCATCCGCAACTCTAGCTGAATTGCAGGTTAGTGGAAGAAACTCATTACTATTTACTTGCACCATTTTTATACAAGTGCTACTTGACTCTACTTTTTCCTTGAAGGTTCGAGTTAATGATCCGAAAACAAGACGACCCCTTTTTACCACTGGACTGATAGGGAGGGATAACTCAGTTGCGAGACATGGAATTCACGGGCTCTACTGGCTGCATAGCATCAACATACCAGGGGATAAGCTTGTTGAGGGAGATAATACTCTCTTCCTCACACAACCCAGATGCACCAGCCCTTTCCAAGGGATTATGTACGACTATATACGTTTAGAAGGTCCCCCTTCTTGCTGAGCCAAACAGAAATCCGAGTGATAAACGTTTTCTTCCATGAAGATTTTATTTGCATCTTCAACGAGTAATCTAGTCGTGTACATATGTATATATATGTCATGTTTACGAGGATCCCGGGGAAGAAATACCTATGCATAGTGGAATATGTTGTATATAAGACGTTTTATATCAAACTATAAATTTGGCATTACATGCTAACAAGGTCATCTTAGAGTTCAAAAAATGAAAATAAAATTAAAAATAATGTCATCTTAGTTGTGCAGTATTGCTGGTTGACTTTCTGCCTATTGATATGGCTTTTGCTCACCATTGTAAATTTGACTGGTTCAATTTATTTTAGTCCTTTTATAAACTTTGTGCTAAACTGATTCCACAACATATGAATAGCATGATAAGCAATGTTGCTAGTCTATAAACCAACCCTCTAAAATTTTAGCCCTTGCAAAGTTCTTCTCGCTTTGCAAAATTATAGTCTCCGAACTATAAAACATAGTGTGATAGTAACCAGTAATCAGCTTTTAATTTATAAAAAATAAATAAACACTTTGAATTTTCAACTAGACTCCCATAAAGATCAGACATAAAATTACAGAACTTGAGATAATGTAATATAAGCATATCGTAAGCTGTAACTTTGTATCTAATCTATGCAACCCTTTTTCCCCCACAGTTGCTTTTCTATTTAGAATTGCATTATGTGTGGTGAACAGAGTTCGGACGGTGCAATGGAGTCTCAAAAGTGGCCAAACTGTATAAATGATGTCGTACTTGTTAAACGACAACGACATCTTCATTTTGTTTTCAGCTTTTCATAGTACCATAATGTATGTGCTTTGGCTAAGACCTACTTAGCGATTCTTGTACGATATATCCAATCCAACAAACAATGGTGGCGACTAAGCAAAGAGACTATAAATAGAAAAAGTGGCAAAAAGATTGCTTTTTCTTCAAGAAACCCAGCTAATTCCGCGCGTACATATACATATATACATATATTATATATATATATACACATATATATCTGTTCTTAATACCATTTATGTCATAACATAAGTTTGTATTAAAAACAAAGCTAGCAGGAGTAGAAGTAAGAGTTTCCCAAAATGTGTTTCTCATTATTATTGTAATGGGACTTTTAAGTATACAAAATCAACATTGAACTTGTAGAGCTCTTCAAAAAGTTGCAGGAATATATCCACATACTTCATCCAAAATCTGAAATTAAAGGGCCTCGCTATGCCACCACAAGGAGTGAAATTGCATGTTCAAGATCAGCATGTAAAATTTACTTCAAACATATTAAAAGTTTCTAGTTCCCCTTTAGTTTTTTTTTTTTTTTTTTTTTTTTTTTTTTTTTTTTTTTAATTTTTTTTTTAATTTACTTTTAATTTTTTTTTTTTTTTTTTTTTTTTTTTTTTTGCTTCTAACTATTATATGAATTTAATATGAACTGTCTTTTTGACAGGTGGTGATGGACAATGGCATAGTCCAAGTAACATTGTCAAACCCAGATGGAATTGTCACTGGAATTCGATTTAATGGCATAGACAACTTGCTTGAAGTCCTTAACGACGAATCCAATAGAGGGTACACAACCAATTTGCAGAACATAGTTTTTTTTTTTTTTTTTTTTTGCTAGAATTAAAACGTAGTAGTTTTAAATTACAATTACATTTCATAAACATGCCAAATATAACATTCTATTTTTTATCAACATTTCAAAATGTACATATAAACAGGTATTGGGACCTGGTTTGGAACTCACCAACTAGCCCTACTGGAATATTTGATGTGTATGTCCCACTACTTAACTGGTTGTTTTCTCACTCCAAAATTACTTTCTCGAGTAGTATTTGTTATAATATGTAAATGCAGGATAAAAGGAACCACTTTCAAGGTTATAGTAGAAAGTGAGGAACAAGTGGAGATCTCTTTCACCAGAACATGGGATTCCTCAATGGAGGGCAAGCTTGTGCCCTTAAATATTGATAAAAGGTCCTAAATCTTTATCTAATATTATACAGTACTGGTCAAGAGCAATATATATATATATATATATATATATGCGCGCGCGTATGTATGTATATATGTCATTAGTTGTATAATTGTTGTTAATATTTGTGGTGTTTATAATTGTAGTTTTTCAATATATGTATGCAGGTTCATAATGCTTCGGGGTTCTTCGGGCTTCTACTCGTATGCCATATATGAGCACTTAACCGAATGGCCTGCTTTCAACCTCGGTGAAACAAGAATTGCTTTCAAACTCAGAAAAGACAAGTACTAGCTAATACACTCGTTTCTTTCATTATTGTTATTTTTTATGTAAAAAAAAAAAAAAAAATGTCCATATATCGCGCTTATGTAGTTAGGAAGAATGAGTAACTTTACTATCCTACCAAACTACTGCTGGTTTTGTTGAAGTTAGGAAGAAATGAATAGCACATTTTAATTCTATATATGTAAATTCAACGCGTAGCATTTTAACATTGACACATTGTTAATATTACCGGACAAGCAGGTTTCACTACATGGCGGTAGCAGACAACCGGCAAAGGAACATGCCTCTTCCTGATGACCGGTTACCTCCTAGAGGCCAAGCCTTGGCTTATCCAGAGGCTGTCTTGCTTGTGAATCCAGTAGAGCCTGAGCTCAAAGGAGAGGTAATCAACGGACAACAATATTGTTATTTATCGCTCATGATCACACAAAATCATCAGCACACCACAGATACAATCTAGTACATCTTCACTATTATTTGCAAATACTAACTAGTGCCTTTATTTTATATACATACTTACATATACATATATATATATATATATTCTTTTACCATTCAAACATTTATTGGGATTTTCTCTTATAAGGCCTTCTTATTTAACCATTTGATCTAATTAACATCACATCAGATTAAAAAATATATCCTAGTTTCATATCTAATAGTTAAAAGTAAAAACTTTTCAGTAATTCAGTTTTTCAAAACTTACCACAAAAACCATTTAATTTTTTTTTTTTTTTTGGCTTAAATCTTTACTTATGGTTGCAAGTATTGTGGTTTCTACTAGGATTTGTTTTTGTCTTTGATAGTTGATACCAAATACAAAGCTCCGAAAAAAATAATAATAAAATATGTATTACCATGAAATGCATGATGGTGTTGGTGATTGAGAAGGTGGACGACAAGTATCAATACTCGTGCGAGAACAAAGATATAAAGGTGCATGGATGGATATCCATGGACCCGAATCTTGTGGGGTTCTGGATGATCACACCCAGCCATGAGTTTCGATCAGGTGGGCCCCATAAACAGAACCTCACCTCCCATGTTGGCCCTACTGCTCTTTCGGTATGCTACTTTTTCTCCTTTTTTTTTTAAGAAATTTTCTCGTACGTCTTGTATACTATATTGGGTAAATTTTTTTAATCGTTAAATATATATAATTTTTAAATTTTATATAATTTTAGACAGATTTAATAAATAAAAAACTTAACATATCTCGTACAAAATAAAATCCCTTCTTTCTATTCTACTTTTTATATTTTCTTTTTTTAAAAATGTAGTGCAGAGTTCTGAAGCTTCTAACAATATCTTGACTCATCTTCTAAAATATATATATATATATTGAGAAACAGTGAGACACTGATTGACTTTGAAGAAAACATGTCTCCCTCGTTTTTTGATTCAAATCACACTCCAATCTTTTTGTTATGGCGTTTTTTATAAAATTTTAAATTTAAATTTAGAATTTCCACTTAAACAAGAACATCCCGTGATATTTAATAGTTGGTTTGAATTGGGAAATGTGAAATTTATCAACATCCAAAACATCCTCAAAAAAAACAAAACAAAAACAAATAAACAAACCAACAAATATCTCGTTTAAGAAACAAAACGACGTAAAAACAACTCATCGTTTTATTTTTAGTTAAAAACGAACGTAAGTTGTCTTTATTATTAATACAAAACGACATTAAAAATAACTACATAGCTTTTTCATTGCAGAACAACGACAAAACAAATTACGGGTGTGTTTGGTAAAGAGATTCGTACCCTGATTCGAATCATAGTTCATCGTTCGTTACAGTGTTTTTTCTCACAAAAAATATACGTAAATCAAAAATAATTTTAATCTTATGATTCTAATCTATGAACTAAACGTCTCCTTCGTACATATCCTTTTTAACGATGTTCATATAAAGACACGTGGATTCGGGTTTGATTATTGTAGAACAACGACAAAACAAATTACATGTCCTTTTTAACTATGTTCATATAAACGACACGTGGATTCGCGTTTGATTAGACGATATGGCGTTTATTGCTTGAAAAATTATACAAACACGTGTTATTGTTCACTTTCAAGAAGCAACGACATTGAAAGAGAAACGATATGCTGCACAATAAAAGAAACTTCAAGTCGTTTATGCGTAAAACATATTGAAAACAAACAAGTCCCCGTTTTACATTGAAATAAGACAATGTGTCGTTTTTGTTGAATTATGTCAACTCCTTTAGAAAATTATATATATTTTTTGTTTGAATGAATATCACCTCAATTTGAGGCCCATATTATTATTAAAGAAGAGAAAAACACTTTAGAAGATTATTTACACAAACGACATGTTGATCACATGAAAATAACGACAAGTCATATAATGAACGCTTGCATGTTGCCATCATGTCGTTTTTTCACAAAATGTAACATTTTTTATTATTATTTATAGTCGATTATAAGTATATTTTTATTCCTTTTCAATGTTTATTTATGGAGATGAACACCATGTAATTATCAGGTGTTTCTAAGTGCTCATTATTCTGGGGAGGATTTGGTGCCAAAATTTGGAGATGGGGAGCCGTGGAAGAAAGTTTTTGGGCCTGTATTTATCTACCTTAACTCTTTATTCGATGAAAGCGACCCTCTTGAATTATGGGAGGACGCTAAAACACAGGTAAATGAACTATCGAGATGATTTTAAACAAAAAAATATAATAGTCAGAAACAGATTCTACTAGTATAAGGTCTTACTCTAAAAAGAATATGTATAAATTTTCATTTATAAAGTGTCATTAATACTTTATTCATGAAATATAAGAGTTGTTTGGTTAGGAAATTTATATCCCGATTTAAATCAGAATTCGTGATTCGTTACAGTATTTTTTCTCACAAAAAATACACATAAATTAAAAATAATTTTAATCTCATAATTCTAATCTATTAACTAAACGTCTCGGTTAGTGTCAGGAAGTAATACTTCTCTCATACCTCATAAACCGAAAATCATGAATTGACATGCCACAGATGAATATAGAAGAGCAGAGCTGGCCGTACAGCTTCCCGGCCACAGAGGATTTCCAAAAGTCAGAACAACGTGGTAATCTCAGTGGAAGGCTACTAGTGAAAGACAGGTAGCTATCACCAAAGAAAATTACCTTTTTATTTCTTTTTTTTTTCCCCTTGTAAAATTAAAATAAAAAAAAAAAAAAAAAGATTTTCCGTATATCATAGTCTGTAAGTAATTCGATCGTTGTCTTTGATTGATAGCAATTAATATTACATGCATTGCTGATAGGTATATTAGTGATGACTATATTTCGGCAAATGGTGCATTCGTGGGGTTAGCCCCGCCAGGAGACGTTGGATCTTGGCAACGAGAGTGCAAGGTTAATTTCTTTTTAACTAATTTAGAAGTTTGTTTTAAAAATGATTGGTCAGTTTTTTTGACTGTTAAATTTGATTATACTCAAATTAAATTGAAAAAAGTATGTATAACATAAATTTGTTGATATAAATTTGACTGATAAAAATAAAAAATTATTAGTAGTTATTTTTTCTGGTCCAAGAGAAAGTCAAGAAAAAAAAAAAAAAAACGAAATTTAGGCAGGATAATATATTTATCACGTAAACATTTAGCGTGGTGTAGCAAATAAACAACTAGTTTGATCGGTCATTTGTGTCGATAAATTCGAGTAGTTTATTGTTATAGAGAACCAAAATCGACCAATTAATGTAATTATATCTACTCTTTATGTCTCCATTGCGTGGAAATTAATTAAACAAATTAGAGCTATCTTTTACCATCGATTGTTAATATTTGTGGCCATTAAATTTATTTATTATGCTTCATAACGTTAGTCACATATTTGATACTTTGTTATTACAGGATTACCAATTTTGGAGCAGAGCAGATGAGAATGGCTATTTCTCCATCAATGATATACGTACGGGTAGCTATAATCTTTACGCATGGGTCCCCAGTTTCATTGGAGATTATCGCTACGATGTTGTCATTGCCATAACCTCTGGTACAGCTTCTTAAAAAAATAATATAAAAACAAATTAAACTTTTTATTTCAGCGTATGTATAGTTGATAAAAAGCGCAAATAAGTTTCTCACGGTTTTTTGCTAAACGTTTCGGTTTCGCACATGAGAGGTAGTTTGTGAAACGTTTCGCATAGCACGCATTTTTTAGTAGTATATAATAGAAGACTGTGACGTTGAGTGTTGACTGTTAACACATATACTAATAATTTTTTTTTTTTTTTTAACTGGAACACATATACTAATTACTAACGAATCTTTTTTCATTTTTTCTTGGCTAATATTCTATAGTTTCGTTCATTTCACCGATTTGAGTTTTTAGTCTTAAGTTTCTACAGTAAAAAGTTCTTAAAAAATGTCACATCTAACTTTTTCTGCTACAGCTCGTTCATTTCACCGATTTGAGTTTTCAGTCTTAGGTTTCAACAGTAAAAAGTTCTTAGAAAATGTCACATCTAACTTTTTCTGCTACAGTAAAAAGCTCTCACAAAATGTCACATCTCAGTTTGAATTAAAAACTCAAATCCGTGAAGTGAACGAGGCTATATACTAGTTTTCACTATATTTATAGATATGTAAGTAGAATTTTATTGGTAATCTGCACACTCACTTTTAATATTGAGATTTGAAGTTTGAATTCCGTCATGGAAATTTTGTTGGTAATTTTAGACCCTATTTTAATATTCATATATTAATTTCAATATAATGTTGTTGTGTTTTAATGTTTAGAGCTGATGTGTATTCATATGCAATGAATATGTATACGTATAATCATTTTGCTAATTAACATCCTTGTGTTTAATGCAGGGTGTGACATTGATACAGGGGATCTTGTTTATGAGCCTCCAAGAAGTGGCCCAACATTATGGGAAATTGGAATTCCGGACCGCTCTGCTGCAGAGTTCTATGCTCCTGATCCTAATCCCAACTATGTCAACAAACTCTATGTTGATCATCCTGATAAGTAAGCATATATTCATATAAATATATGTGCATATATTTGTATATATTACTTCCAATATATTTTTCACTTTTACATGTTACATGAAGGGACTATCTCACCGAAAGGACTGTAGATAAAATCTATTTATTTATATGTATATGTATATATGTATATATGAACTCCCCTAGCTCCGAGATACCTTCTTGAATTTAATTTGCATATAAGACGTCTTGTATCTGATTGTATTTTGATTGTTTGCAGGTTTAGGCAATATGGACTTTGGGAAAGATATGCAGAACTATACCCTGATAAAGACTTGGTTTACACAATTGGTTCCAGTGACTATAGCAAAGATTGGTTTTTTGCTCAGGTTACCAGGTGCAATTTTCTCTCAACTTGTAACGTGACTTTAGTTGATGACCATACAATTTTGTCATACTTCTTTTCTAACTACAAATGGAAAAGTCTAGCTACGGGGTTTGTTTTGTTTATAAGTTCAAACCATGGTTCATAATTTAAATTTTTTATAAAAGAAAAATATTATAACAGAATCAAGAACCATAATTGGAACCACGTAAAACCCTTAAAATAAACAGGCCCTTGCTTCTAGAACTGACATGTCAAATGTAACAAATTAAGTTACAAACTTACAAAGCCTTTTCTTTTCTCTTAGGAAGAAAGATAATAATACTTACCAAGGTACTACATGGCAAATCCAATTCAAGCTAAACAAAGTGGACGAAAGTAGTACTTATAAGCTCAGACTAGCACTAGCATCTGCCACTTTTTCTGAATTGCAGGTATAGTTTTTTCAATTTTTTCTCTTTTAATTTCTACCTAGATTGCATGTGTAAAAGCAACATTCATAAGGTTTTTAAGCAAAGGCACAAGTCATTCACGGTTGAGTGTAACATGACATTTATTTCATGTAATAATAACTCTGTATAGATATAACAGTAATAAATTTATCTATCAATATATGAGTGGTCCTTTGTGATGGATCAAAGACAAAACCATATTTTTATAAGTTAATGTTTTACTTTACAGGTTAGAGTGAACGATCCAAAGGCAAATCCTCCTCTTTTCACAAGTGGATTAATAGGGAGAGACAATTCAATTGCAAGACATGGAATCCATGGTCTTTATAGGCTATACAATGTGAACATAAAAGGAACTCGGCTTGTTGGAGGAGACAATACAATATTTTTGACACAACCAAGAAGTAGTAGTCCTTTTCAGGGCATTATGTATGACTATATCCGTTTAGAAGGTCCTCCATCTGCTTCAACTTGCTAAAGAGATATAACGAATTTTCATGTACTAATTTGTTTATCAAGTGAAGGAAAAATCAAATGGGGGTTTTCATAAAATCACAATTTTATTGGGGAACTCCGTGTGTTTGATGTTTTGTAGAACACATTGTAAAAGTTTATGATTTCTATCAATGTGACTATGACTTATCACCAACCACGTTGCCCTCTTAAAATGACCATTTATCACCAAACGACTCTTTGTTGAATTTGAAGTCTCTTTTCCACTATTGCACATGTTTGGTGTACATAAACTGCCGTCTAGGCATGATGTAGTATTAAAGTACGCTTAGGTAACCGAAACATATGAGAAGTTAAATAGTTAAGAAAAAAAAAAAATTAGTTATTCTGTTTAATTCATAAGTATTGAATGTAGGACAGAAATCGCAATAGCTTTTGCTTAAAAATAATAATAAAGTGAAAAAAGCTTGAAATAATTAATAGCTACAAAGCCGGCCTAATAAATCGAGTTTGTTAACGTTTTTTTATGTGATCAATATATACACATACACACACATATATAAATAGATATGTATATATATATATATATATCACCTGCCCTGTTTTCTTATGTAGATCATCTACTGACCTAACTACTCCTACCAAACAAGGGATTCATACTTCATCCTTCTTCTTCTTCTTTTTTTAGTAGAAACTATTCTTAAATCCCTTCCTTTTATCCCTTCTTCCTCTCGTCTCCCTTTCCTCTTTTTTTTTTCCCCCCCCTTACCAAACTTATATATTTTTAAATTTAGAACATGAGCATTCGAACTCTTCACTTTATGATGGAGTCAAGTATAAAATTACCGTTAAATTATGCCTACAATCACCTAAACTTATATATTCATCCCCTCTTTTTTGACCTTATATAGATATATGTATGTTATCTATATGTATGCTTTATATGAGAAGCGTTTGTGAACCTTAGAAATAAATTAAGATTAAAAAACTGGACAATATCATCATAAAGCACAACAGGTTTAAATGGAAAGAGAACTATTCTGCTTGTTACATTACCAAAAAAAACAAAAAAGATAAAATCTAGGGTTTATGCGGATTGGTGTTGATTCTATTCCTTGCTTTGTTGGTAACACTATTATGGCTGATTTGGCCGATTAACGAAATTTAGTACAATTTTTCCTTAAAAAATAATAAAATCTAGGTTTATACGTTAAGGCAAATTTAGTGCATCGGAATTAGTCATATTATAATGTGGTAAGACAAGTGGAAAGGTCAACTTTAGATGGCATATGACCTACCACGTTAACATCACTACTAAAATGGTAATTTTTTGAGATAATCTCACAAATTGTCCATAAAATTTACCATAAATATTATTTTAGTCCGTTATTTTTAAAATGTATTACAGTTAATTCCTGAGTTTTAACTTTGTTTCAGTTTTGGTTTCTTTAACTAGTTATTAAATATTTAATGGAATATATGTAAATTAAAGACCAAAATTAGAAATGGCTAAAATTTAAAGACTACCCATAGAAATTAACTTTTACTTTTGTATTGTTTTAGTCTCTAAACTTTAGATGTTTTTTATTTTGATCCTTAATTTTGACAATATTATTTTTACAAATATTGTCAAAATTTAGCACCTAACTAATAGAATGACCAAAAATACTGAAACAAAATAAAACTTCAAAGACTAACTGTGAGACGTTTTAAAAATCAGAGACCAAAATTAGATTGAGGATGAATCTTAGGACCATTGGAATTAACCCTTAAAAAATTGAACATTTGTTGAAATTGGTAATAAAGAGGAGGGAGAAAATCAAATCATGGACAAATTGGTAATTTGGTCTTTCATAGCAGAATAGTTTACTCATTAATTCACATCAGGAAATTGAGCAAATTACTGCCGGAGATCCTGTCTATCCCTTAATCTTTTGTAATTATTTCCCTTATCTTATTCCTTTCATTTACCAAAATTTTCTTAAGTCGACATTTGAAATTCATTAGTGATATGGGATTCTTTCCTACTATATACGTGATTTCTTTCTTCACATAGTTGGAAGGCAGTTACCGGATCAAGTAAAAAAGTATCGTGATTCTTTATTATTATTATTTTAACAATTTAAGATGGACAATAATATTGAGCACTATGCATTACTTATTAAGTTACACACTTACACGGTAATAACACTTTGACTTGAGAATATGGTTGGTTTAAGAACTCTAAACCAACGTTAAGAATAAAATTTCCGGCAAAACAAACACACAAACATACAAATTATGTCACAAGGAAACGTGATTCTCTAAAAAATTAAAAAAAAAATTAGAAAAAAAAAGGTGCTCGTGAGCCACTAAGTTGAACAAACAAAACAATGACATTTGAGGGGTGACGACAAATTATATTACCAATTACAAAGATTTAGGAGAGGATCACAAGAAAGTGAAAGGAAAGGGAATACCTGTCTTGTATTCTAGTTCAAGGAAAGTAGGCCAAAAAGCAACAAACAAAAATACCTCCCCATAACTATATATATATATATATAAGCAGTTAAAAGTGATTTTTTAACAAACTCTGTCAAAAGAAGTGTTCCAAGAATTTTCACATGCCGAGTTTTCACAGCATTATTAGATTGCCTAGAAGAGCAAATGGACCGACCGATATTGTCTTTAGCCTCTCCAAATTATTACCCCCGTGGCATCTCAAGAGTCATTTTGTAGTTATGGTCATGATGGTTCTCTTGTTTGCAATGACCATTACCACCGAGTCTCTCCAAAATATGAAACTCACAAACGGAACTTTTCCGGCCACCAAGTTCAACAAGGTCCCGGCCGCCGCCAACGACACGCCCGCCCTGCAGTTGCATATCCGAGATCAATATGTAAGAACTAATAATCATAAGCATAATTTTTATTTTATTTTATTTTGTTAATGTAAACAAGTAAGTTTTATTTTTTATTCTCAATGCAATTATTGTATTTTTTTTTTTTTTATGCAGGTAGAGATGGACAATGGCATTCTTCACGTTACGCTGTCTAAACCGGGAGGATCGGTCACCGGAATAAGATATAACGGCGTTGATAATTTGCTTGCTCTTAATAGTGAAGTTAACAGAGGGTACATATACAAATATATAATATATATTTCAAAAAGAAATCAGATATATTAATTATCAGTTTAATTTACATGCATGAAGTTTCGTTGTTATATATGTTGAGGCAAAAAATTGACCCTTCTATGGCTATTTGCAGACATAATTATATGTCTATTTCTGTGTCAATTATATAGGTATTGGGACCTTGTTTGGATTGGAAATGGAAGTAAAGGAAAAAAAGGTTCCTTGGATAGGTATGTGTTGGAAACTTTGGTCTCTCTTTTTTTTTTTCCTATTCTTTGTTAAAAAGCACTTTATACAAAGGGATTAAAATATGATGTTAAAGTGATTGGACAAATAAACTGGTTAGTAAGTTGTGACAATGTATTGCAGGCTTGAAGGGACAGATTTTAAGGTAATAGTGGAAAATGAGGAGCAAATAGAGATTTCCTTTACCAGAACTTGGAATTTCTCTCTCGAGGGAAAGATGGTCCCTTTAAACATAGACAAAAGGTAACTAAAGTGTGACTGAGTTTTTTTAAAATTTTTGTTACAAAACATCTTTTGGTGCAGAAATTGACTGGCTACTAAAAACACTTGTGATTTTTTTTTTTTTTTTTAAATTTTGGAAGATTTATAATGCTACGTGGTTCATCTGGATTCTATTCGTATGGGATTTATGAGCACCTAAATGGATGGCCTGCTTTCAACCTCACCAATACTAGAATCGCCTTCAAGCTGAGAAAAGACAAGTAATTTCCATGTGCACAAATAGTGTTTATTTTTACTACATAGTTTAATTAGTCTTTTTGTTATTATGAGCCTATTTAAAAGGTACATTCAAATTATAATTTTTAATTTTGACATTTAAAATTTAATTTTTTTGTGAGAGAAAATTTTTTTAACAGAATTAATTATTTAAGTTTGAGTACGGGATTTACCCTTTAGTTTTTATGTTTATGTAAATATTAATTATTGGTCAGTATATATATTTATAAACTAAATATATTTTCAATATATTATAGGTTTAATTATATGGCCATATCAGACAACAGGCAAAGATGTATGCCACTTCCCGAGGATAGAGAACCAGAAAGAGGCCGAGCCTTGGCTTATCCGGAGGCAGTGAAACTTGTCAACCCCGTAGAGCCAGATTTCAGAGGAGAAGTATTATTTCTTCCCATATTCACTCATTTTTTCTTTTTCTTTTTCTTTTATAATTAGACTTTGATTTTATGAAAAATGTAACAAAAAAAATATGATAAAATCACCACCAACTGATGACTTAGTAGAGTAGAACCACACCGAGTCAAGAAGTCTTGGGTCCTAGCTTGAAGGCTATTATGAGAATATTAATCCTATTAATGCGTTAATACCAGAGCTAATATAAGACCCGTTTAATTTACTAATTTAAATTTTTAATTCGAGTTAAAATATGACTTTATATGAATTTTTTTTACTGTAATAAAAAAATTAAATGTGACTGTTTCTGAAAATTTTTTACCGTAACAAAACTCGATTTCTAAACTTAAATCGGTGAGATGAACATGACTATAAATATCTATTTTCCTTGCATCTTTATTAGGAGTTACCGGTACACATGGTAATACTTAGCACTGAAATTTTAAAAAGAAAATGAACTTTGTTAATCTAGAAAGCGAAAGGATAAAATTGTTAGACAAAACTGTCACAGTATTATTACGGTACTTAAGGGAATAAACAAAATAAAATTTAACCAAATCCTAATTTAGAAACGGGCATGCATATATAGGTTGTTATAAATAGTCACGGATTAAAATTTGAGTGTGGAATTCATCAAAAATTTCGCAGGTAGATGACAAGTACGAGTATTCGTGTGAGAACAAGGACAACCGGGTTCACGGGTGGACATCCATTAACCCGCCCATGGGGTTTTGGCAGATCACTCCAAGTG